CAGTTACACAGACACACAGATACAAACACTGCCACACATACAAATGAGTGTAGCTATAATGTACCTGGATACATAGAATATGATTGGATACTGTGAGAAGAGGAAAAAAAGAAATGAATAGTGCAAACAAATCTCTAAGATAACAAGAATTGTGTATTCCTATGAATCTTTGCACTCACAAGGAAAGAGCCAGGAAGGAAATTAGGTCACTTGGCTCTAGTGTATATTGCCTTCTGGATTCTAAGGGGGATCCACAAGACTTAATACAGTGTAGGTAAAAGTGATCCCTCACAGAAGTGTTGAACTACGTTATCACACCACAGTTTGTTGTACTCCTATTTGATACAGCAACACATATACATGCTCACAGTGACACACACACACACGTGCATAAGCATATACAAATACTACATATATACAGATACACAAAAACGCACATACAGGTCAAAATTTTAGCAATGGCTATTTGAATATAATCTCTCCTACACTAGCCATTAGATTTGCTGATATCAGCCAAGAATCTCCAACATATTTTATTAACCATTTCACATTTAACCCTTGATAGGGCTTCTACACATACAATAAGCTTTGCTGGTATCAGACAGAGTATACACATCTCTAATGAGACATGAAGGGGTATTTTATAAACCCCTACATACTTATTAACCCTAAATAGGGCTATAACACATACAAATCACCTTGACGTGGCAAGTGAGCTTATATTAAAATGGTAATTGGAATAAAACCAAAGATCCTCCATTTTGTTTAAATGTACATAGGGATTTAGGCCAGAGCGCAGGTAACGTTCTCTTTGTTTTTACTATGTATTTTGATCTGTTGGATACTAAGCTACTACTGCGTTGCTTTATCTTTGTGTTTGTATAAGAATAAGGGGTGCAGTCGCACTGTTAAAGTGGTGCAGCACGACTGGCCCCTGAAGTCATATAAATGCCCTAAATGCATGGGCCCCCACTTTGCAGTTCCTAACCTCTGCGATGCAGCTGCACCAGCAGAACCGTCTTTTCTGAAATGTTTTCACGTATCCCAGGGGGAACTGGATTGTACCCATGGGGGTGCACGTAACACAAATTGGGAACCACTGCTCTAGAGATACTGATTAAATCAAACTAAAACAAACAAAAAAATTGGGATAATGTAATATTTAGAATATAGCAAATTTAAGTTATTACACATGTGCCTTTATCCTTAATAATTCCTTATAATTTGTTTCATTAAATCAGAATTTAGTTTCAATACAAAAATGCGTGAAACTTAGTACTCTAATTATAACACTTTTTAATTAAAGAAAATATATATATTAATCTTTCAAGATTCTTTTCTTTCAGGAAGTGTTCCGGAGGATTGGAGGAAGGCAGATGTGGTTCCTATATTCAAAAAGGGTTCAAAATCCTTGCCTGGAAATTATAGACCTGTGAGCTTAACTTCTGTGGCTGGTAAAATATTTGAAAGGTTATTAAGGGATAATATTCAAGAATTCCTTGAGAAGAACATGGTTATCAGCAAAAATCAGCATGGTTTTATGAAGCACAGGTCATGTCAAACTAACTTGATTGCGTTCTACGAAGAAGTAAGTAGAAGTATAGATCAGGGTGTTGCCGTGGATGTGATCTATTTGGATTTTTCCAAGGCATTTGATACAGTTCCACACAATAGATTATTGTTCAAACTCAAGGAAATCGGTCTAGATGAAAATGCTTGTTCTTGGGTAGAACATTGGCTTAAAAACAGAGTACAAAGAGTTGTCATTAATGGTAAATTTTCAAGCTGGACAGAGGTGGCAAGTGGTGTCCCTCAGGGGTCTGTTCTGGGACCCCTTCTATTTAACATGTTTATAAATGATCTTGAAGACCTCATTGAAAGTCATGTTTCAGTGTTTGCAGATGACACCAAACTTTGTAAAACAATACAATGTGAGCAAGATATTACTTTGCTGCAGAGGGATTTAGATAGACTGGGGGACTGGGCACTCAAAAGGCAGATGAAATTTAATGTTGAAAAATGCAAAGTTATGCACTTCGGCGTAAAGAATACACAAGCAACATATACCCTTAATGGAAGCGAATTAGAGATAACAACACATGAAAAGGACTTGGGAATTGTTATAGACAACAAACTATGCAACAATGTGCAATGTCAATCAGCAGTGGCCAAGGCCAGTAAGGTATTGTCATGCATGAAAAAGGGCATTCATTCTCGGGACGAGAATATCATTTTGCCTCTTTATAAATCACTGGTAAGACCACATATTGAATATGCTGTGCAATTTTGGGCACCTGTTCTAAAGAAGGATATTATGGCACTAGAAAAAGTGCAGAGGTGGGCTACAAAATTAATAAAAGGAATGGAACATATCGGCTATGAAGAAAGGTTAACAAATTTAAACCTATTTAATTTAGAAAAACGTCGCCTGAGAGGGGATATGATAACATTATACAAATATATTCGGGGCCAATACAAACCATTGTGTGGAAATCTATTCACAAACCGGACTTTACATAGGACACGAGGCCATGCGTTTAGACTGGAAGAAAGAAGATTTCGTCTAAGGCAAAGGAAAGGTTTTTTTACTGTAAGAACAATCTGGATGTGGAATTCTCTGCCTGAAGAAGTGGTTTTATCAGAGTCCATACAGATGTTCAAACGGCTACTAGATGCATACTTGCAAGAACAGAATATTCAAGGATATAATCTTTCAATGTAGGGTAATAACTGCTTGATCCAAGGATAAATCTGACTGCCATTCTGGGGTCAAGAAGGAATTTTTTTCCTAGCTTGTTGCAAAATTGTGCTTCAACTGGGTTTTTTTGCCTTCTTTTGGATCAACAGCAAAAAAAAAAAAAACGTGAGGTAGGCTGAACTTGATGGACGCAAGTCTCTTTTCAGCTATGTAACTATGTAACTATACATACATTCCTCTTGTTTTGAATAACAAATAATTCCTATACAGAAAAATAAAACACAACATAGTGTAATCTGTATATATATTCTGTGAGTAGGTGTCAGACTTCAAAACACTCACAATTTTCTGAGCCCATTAAAGTTGGCTCTGGACTTATGGAGCATGTATGTCTCCTTATGGACACAGAGTAGCTTCCTACAATTGTTGGGTCCTATAGAATACAAGGTTGCTGAAATCAGGAACTCCAAGAAGAGGTGGGTAGCTAAAAAAATATTTATTGTTTACATATATAAAATCATGAACATATGCACAACGAGTTTCAACCTCAAAATGGTTCTTCCTCAGGTACTGTTGAATGGTTTTTTTTAGCTACCTACCTCTTCTTGGTGTTCCTTATTTAAGCAACATTGTATTCTGTGGGACCCAATCATTGGCAGAAGCCACTCTGTGTCTATAAGGAGACATACATGCTCTATAAATTCAGAACCAACTTTAATGGGCTCAAAAAAAAGGGAGTGTTTTGAATTCTGACACCTACTCACAAAATATATATACAGATTATACTAAGTATAACACTTACCCAAGTTATAAGTGCCTGTGAGTAAGATATAAGAAGAAAAAAATATTTAGCCACAGACATGTAGAATAGATGTTTTATATTTATGTTTTCTAGCTTACACAGCAAATGTATCATGCAGTATATATCCATGCTTGCTACTGCTAAATACTCATGTATGTTTATTTAATAAATTCCTCATTGCAACTTGAGAAAATACATAAATCTATATTACTGAACATTATTTACATATCCCCTTCTTTTTATAGAGATGCATTCTATGATGAACTTTCAATTTGTTTTACATTTCATTCCGATTTATGAAATGTGAATGATGAAACTAATTGAGTGAGGGACACTGGAGCTTTAGATTGCACTATATAAGTCCTTCTTTTACCATATGTGACTACAGTTGGGACTAACAATTCGACCAAGATTTCTATTTTGTGAGTTATATATTAAATGTGTGTGAATGCTTTTATAATATGCTCCATTGATTTTTATTTTTCCCTTTTACATGCCCTTGATGTTTGTCATTTTTTTGTGAATTGTCATTGGGAGGAAAAGAGAGCAGCAATTCGATTTCTATTATTATCCATGTGATAAAAAAATTTTTTTAGTCTTTCTTTAGGTTTGTACTATTCTTCTGTTTCACACAGCCATGATACTAGTGTCAAGTGCACTTTAAATATGGATCTCTGTTGAAGTTAATTCCTGTACCATAACAACTTAATCTCACTGAAGATGGACTGGGCACTGGGGATATGCTGAAATCATGAGCAGACTCTTTCAGTCTATCACTAGCTTATAGTTTAGAAAACGTACCTGTCATAAATGTATTTATTTATTTATAAAATATTTTATAAGGAAGGATACAGTCAGGGGTGGCGGCCTGGTGACCAGGACCCAGTATGCCTGATCTTGATAGTAGGAGTCGCTGTGTGGAAATGGATTATCATCTATGGTGCAGAGTAACCACACGCCCCTTGGTGTTGAGCACCAGCATTTGTGTGGCCACATATTCTGTGGATCCCATGTGCCAGATGACAATATGCAGACCTCCCAGGATCTGAATAGGGAGTCTCTGAAGCAGATATGTATCCAGTACTAGGAAAAAGGCAAGACTAGAACAGGCACCAAAGAAGATAGCAAGACAAGACTAGAAGAACCCAGAACCAGAGAAGGACGGAAAGCAGAACCCAGAACATGTACACAATACTTAAGGAAAACATGAACAGGGCAGGACATGAACTGGGAACACAAAACAAATAAAACAAGACAAGAGATACAAGGCAAAACAAGAGGAGACATAAGTACTGATATGTGCAATACACATTGGAGATTTAGACATACATAAATGGCAAAGATGTGGCCTGATCCACATTTCTAGTTTCAGAATTGGTGTCATTTATTAGCTTAGCAATCAGGGTGATGGAACATCGGACAAAATAATTATTAAAGGCATTTAGTACATTTAAGGGGTATTGCAGGGTATGGTTGTCCACTTTGACAGTGGAGGCTTGGAAATGGATTGGGGGAGTTTGTAAGTCAATTTTGATTTTCCAAATGTTTCTAGGGTTTTTAATGTTATTGTTCAGGTTTTCACTGAAATATCGGGCTTTGGCCAGTTTTGCTTGTTTTGTGCATGTATTTCACAATGAATCTCTAAACTGGTACATATGAATAAGGTCAGCTGTCATCCAATTCATATGTTCCCTTTTATCTACACCTTATATAGCGAGGCATGCAAATTCCAAACTTGTAGGACTGAAAGAATTCAAATGCACAGTCTAGATCTGGGTTTAGGTTTAGTCTGTGCAAAGGGAGGTTCTTGATGTAATTTAGAAAGGATTCAAGATTAAATTTCTTGAAGGACATGGTGATTATAACCTTGGGAGAGTATTTAGTAGCTTTTATTTTGCAGTACAATAAGCAATGGTCATTGTTGTGGACGTGACCTAAATATGAATATTAATCTCTTAATACATAATAATTAAGCAATACGGAACAACATTAATATTTTTATAATTCATGGTATTATGGTCGAATATGTGGATAGAAAATACACAAAACGTTGTAATATTAAATGTATATTTAATATAACTATAATAAATAAACAGATGCTAGCAGAATGTCAATTTACTACAATTATGATACAATACAAAACTACAACATATTACTTACAAAAAGTTGCCACATGTTACACAACATTTTACTTACAAGGCCCCAGCCCTTTGGCTGGGGTTAAGTCAGAGCTGGTACTACATCTTAGGTTCAGTCAGTTACAGGCAAAGAGACAGAGTTTTCTCCTCCATCTGGTTTTTATTCAGTGTAAGTAGGCTGGCCTGTGATGTCACTGCCAGAAGCACATGTCTTCCTACACACTCCCCCTAGTGGTGCCCCCAAAGCATTACACTAAATATGCTTTCTTTATGATGTAAAGTCATTAATTCATAAATACCATTACAGTCATTAAAACTGTTAGGGAGAACACCAACCTCATGTATTTTATCAGGACAATTGGAGAGAATCCAATCTAGCAAGGTATGGTTATGGCTTTTCATGTTGATGCGATATGGGGAGGAAATTAATTGCGTTAGCTGCAAAGTCTTAAACAGCGAGCATGAACTATTATTTTTAGGAATTAGCCCATCAATATTAAAATCTCCAACCTCCAACAGTTCTTTTTTGTGGGTTTTGAGCCACGGTTTCACTAAGGAGTTGGGCTATGTCAGAAAGGCAATGCAACGGAGAGCTAGGTGGGCGGTAGATTCCAGCAACAATGAACGGTTTACTGCACAGAATCTCGATTGTGCCAGAAAGGAAATCAAAGGTGGCAGGACAGTTATTGTTTTGTAAAGGGGTGATCTTTATGGACTTGTCAACATAAATTACTATTCTATGGCATGAATACCCATATATTGCAATTGCAGAGTCAGGTATTTTTGAGGTTAGCCACGATTCAGAGAGCACAATGATTTTGCACTTATAATGTGAACACTATTTTTCCAGTGCATCGATTTTAGGTCGTATGCTTTGGATGTTACAGTGCACAAAAGGAGAGGCCTTTTTGTGCAGGGAGACTAGGAATGGAATCTGCTGGGGGACCAAGGATAGACTCCACATCATTCATAAATGATGTAACCCCTTAAGGCACCATAACAACGTAACTGAAATTTAAAGTACCTTCTCAGTTCATATAAATCTAGAAAGTTTTAACAATACTCTATAGGGGGTGGATCACAAGACAGGTGTGTCCTCTATCATCCTTGTTATTTGCTTTGAGTTTAGAATCATTGCTCTGCTCTATTAGGCGGAAAATAGATATCACTGGTTGTGATTGGAAAGGGACAACCCACAAGATCGCGGCATATGCCGATGATCTGTTTTTTGTCACTAAGCCTAAAATCTCACTACCCTGTCTTTTACTAGAAATATCAGAGTATGGAGCATTGTCAGGTTTCAAATTAAATTTATCAAAATGTTAAGTCCTTAATAGCTCTATGCTTGACACAGATTGTTTCACATTACAAACACAGTTTTTTTTTAACTGGTGTACTTCACGAATGAGATACCTAGGAATATAGATATATCACAACACCAAACGGAACGTTACCAACATAATTTTCTTCAGTTTTTTTAACTCCTATTCAGAAAGACCTTAACCATGAGATGATTCTATCCTTACTTGGCTGGGCCGAGTGGCAGTGGTTAGAATGAATATTTTATTTAGATATATATAATAAACAAGATAGACCATTTGATGTCTTCTTTCTTCTAAAC